CGGGGTCCCGGCTCCCTCCTCCCTCTTCTTCACCTCGGTCTCCATCCTGGTTACCAGGAGGGGAGCATTGTGGGCACGACATTAAGAACGGCAAACGAAAACAAGGCAAGAATACTTACTCGTCGGCAGCGACGAACACCTTCTTCCTGGCTAGGGCTAGGGCGCCCCCGACCTTCTTGAGCACGGGCTTCGTTGCACCCTGAGGATTAGCGGGGCGCATAGTGGCTGGCCTTAGTGCGACGGCGACAAACGACAAGGCGGAGGCGTCACCTCGAGGAAGGGATGTTGCCTCGCCCTTCTTCGGCATTGCTCAGCCTAGCCTCTGCAAGGGGGTGGCCCCAAACCTCATGACGACCCTGGTGGAGGGCGGAGATCCCTCGACCGGGAGCTGGGCAGCGTCGTTGTCGTCGGAGAGGCCATGGAGGAGAGGTCTCCGCCGCGTCATCCATGACCTCCTCTGAGTCCTCCTCCCCCTTCTCCTTGGCGTCATCGCTCGAAGACACCATCACCGGGGAGTTGGGGAGCACAGTCAGCACGAGCCCCAACTCACTAAGACGGGCATGGCGGCGACTAGCTCTGCCCTGTCGCCACGGCGGTACAACGGCAGATAGGCCGCTGGGAGGCCGCCCGGATCCTTCTCAAGCAGGATGTGAAGGGCCTTCTCTAGCTCCTCGCTTGTCAAGCTCCCTGGGTGCAGCCGGATGTTGTCCTTCGCGCCCATGAAATCCCACATGGGGCGCGAGCGAGACTGAAGCGGGGCCAGGCGCTGCGTCAGGAACTCCTTAACGAGCATGGCCCCCATCAGCACCTCGGACTCCATGTCCGCTTTCATCTTCCTCAGGACCGGCGCCGCCTAGGAGTCGGTGAGTTTCTCATGACCCCACTAGTCAAGCTTCTCCGGCAGCTCGGTCGGCAATTCCAGCCGCGCGTGGAGGCCCCTGGCGTCCATGAAGACCCACTTGCACCGGAAGTTCTCCACCTTCTTCCCGTCCCTCATGAGCGCGTTGCCGCTATGGACCATGATGAAGGAGACGCAGGCGAAGCACTAATTTGGGTCGTGCATCCGGAGGTAGAAGAAGTGGTGGAGGAGTGCGACGGCGGGCATCACGCCCACAAATGCCTCGCAGTAGAAGGCGAAGATGGACATGAGGAGGATGGAGTTGGGTTGGAGGTACAAAGCTTGAACCTGGTAGTGGTCGAGGATGGTGGTGAAGAACTTGGAGAAAGGCGGGACGAGCCCCACGAAGACACTGTGGAGGAAGAAGGGATAGAACGTCTCCGCCAGGGTCCGTGGATCGGTAGAGCCGACCAGGAGCAGCGTCTCCTTCTACTCGTTGTGGTCGCTCACCATCAATGGGAGCACGGCGGCGAGGTGCCTCTCCTCGATGATGGAGGACGCGCTGGGGGCCAGTGCAGGAGAGGAGGAGGAACTCGCGGCCTGCGTAGCCAACTTCACCTTCCCGGATGCCATCAGCGAAGAACTTGAGAGGAGAAATTTGGCAGATCTGGAGATGCTCTCGGCAGGAAGAAAGAGGATCCGGAGCAAGGCAAGAAGGAGGCAATGAAGGCTCGGAGGCAGACACCAGCCTTTTGTCAGCCAGGGGCAGTTGTCGAGGCAGCATGAGGAAGTGGAGACGCCCATGTCCCATCAAGCGCCACGCATCGACTCGGTCCGTAGGAGATTGGGGCCCGTGACATTTCTCCCTTGCCCTTTGGCTTCGCCTCAAAGCCAAGTCCAAGCGCGCCTTGGGCCCGGGGGCTACTGTCGGCATTCTGGGAACCAAGGTACCTACACTTGCCTGCCTATGGCCCACGACGTGGCTCCGTCGATGGCCTGGTACGGCCCATCTTCAACACCTTCAAGACAAGACCCTCGCGAGGCGGACGACATCAAGACCTTTGGAGGGAGCGGCCTCCTCAGGCTGGCCCCCGAGGAGCGGAGATCTCTATGCAGGTGGGCACCTCATGAGATTGAGGTAACGCCAGTCATGACGACCAAGGCCGGGCGGGCGCCAGCGGGCGCAGAGCAGCAGGTTTCCTCTTTGGTGCTAAGGAGGCAAGCGCAGGCGCGGGGTCCTAAGGAATCACCCAAAGGTTTCCATTCCCGTGCAACAAGACCAAGACCACCAGGATGGCAGGATGGATGTCATCACCGAGCCCACCGCGGTTTCACAATCAGGAACTTTGCATGCGAAGACCACCTTTCGCCAGGATAGGATGTACTACTTGTCCCATTTCAAAATTGTCCACTATGCGATCCCTTCCCGCCTATGCTTTGGGGGAAGAGGACCAAGGCCACTATAAATATAGGCTACCCACCACCGGGGAAGGTGGACCGATCCTTAGCTCACACCCACACTAGAACAGACCTCGTGAGGTTGTTCTTCCCTTGTACTAGTTCATCCTCAGCTCATCATGAGGCTAATCCACCACAAAGAAGGATCTTGGTGTTGTGCCCAGTGTACTGAACCCAATGACTCTATTATGACAACACTGGTGCCATTGCTCTAGCCAAGGAACCAAGGTTTCACAAGAGGACCAGAAACATAAAGCGACGCTTCAACTCCATCTGTGATGCAGTCAAGGAGGAGGACATAAATATTTGCAAAGTACATACGGATCTGAATGTTGCGGATCTGTTGACTAAACCTCTTCCACGGGCAAAACATGATCAACACCAGAACTCTATGGGTGTTAGATATATTACCATGTAATGCTAGATTATTGACTCTAGTGCAAGTGGGAGGCTGTTGGAAATATGCCCTAGAGGCAATAATAAAGTGGTCATTATTATATTTCCTTGTTCATGATAGTCATTTATTATCCATGCTATAATTGTATTGACCGAAAACTCAAATGCATGTGTGGATACATAGACAACAACATGTCCCTAGTAAGCCTCTACCGGACTAGCTCGTTGATCAAAGATGGCTATGGTTTCCTAGCCATGGACATGAGTTGTCATTTGATAACGGGATCACATCATTAGGAGAATAAGCATAGCATATGATCGTGTCAAGTTTATTGCTATTGTTTTTCTGCATGTCAAGTATATGTTCCTATGACCATGAGATCATGCAGCCCACTAAGGGGTTGTGCGCCCACCTCACCCCATCACACGTAACCAAAAGGGGTGGGGGTGCCCCCTAGGGCAGCCAACCCCTTTGCATTTGGGGGGCAAGGCTCCCAGGGGGAGGCACCCAAAACCCATCTAGGGTTTCCCTCCTGTGGCCGCCGCCCCCTAGATGGGATCTAGGGCGTCCCCTTCCTCCTCTATTCCCCATATATATAGAGAGGCAGAGAGAGGACAGCCACACCTCTTGAGCACAACTCCACGCCACGGCGCTGCCCCTCCTCTCCCTCGTAGCCATCTTCCTCTTCGCAGTGCTTAGCAAAGCTTTGCTGAGATTCCACAACCACCACCGCCACCACGCCGTCGTGCTGCTGGAGGACTCGAGCTACTACTTCACCATCGCTCGCTGGATCGAGGAGGTGAATGCGTCATCAAGTCGTACATGTGTTGAACGCGGAGGTGCTGTCCGTTCAGCACTTGGATCGAAGTTCGCGGGATGGATCGTGATTGGATCGCGAAGACGTTTGACTACATCAACCGCGTTTCTTAACGCTTCCACTTAGCGATCTACAAGGGTATGTAGATGCAATCTCTCCTCTCGTAGAGATTGATCTTGGTGAGCGTAGGAAAATTTTTGTTTCCCATGCAACGTTCCCCAACAACTATGTCAATAGGTTAGTCCCAGAAAATGATATAAAGTTGCTAGTAAATGAGTATAAAACATTCAAGAATGATACTTTAATAGCATGGAACAATCAAAAATTATAGATACGTTGGAGACGTATCACGCTACTGTACCCCGTCGTCATGTTGAGGTCGATGACAGCCGCGACCGGGATGGCGGGGGTGGCCGACGCGACCATGCTGCTATCCGGTGACGTGGAGAACCGGTTCTGGCCATGCAGCAATGGCGGATGATACCCGTGCGTCTCCGGTGTGACGGACAAGCTCGGAGACTAGTACCATGGAGGATGAAGGGCCGACGAGCTTCTGCTAGCCGCGACCATGACAACGACCATGGCTGGCGGGGTTGGCACAACCCTAACATGAGGAGGGTGTGCGCCTTGGTGACGATGTCCTCCTTGTCATTGACGTCGGCCTTGTGCTGCGCGGCCGCCTCAGCGGCGAAGTCGGCAGCGACTTTCTTCTCCTTCTCCCTTGTACGCTAGGCCCCCTCTTGGCCGATCCTTGGTCGAGCTTGGCGAGCTCCGTCAGCGTGAGTTCCGACCGCAACTTCTTGGGACCTTTCCTCTTCGCCGCGGGGCACCCGGTAGCGTCCAGGTCGCCGGGATTCTTTGGGGCGCCGACCATGAAGGAGGGAGGGAAGGGGGAGTGCAGGAGGGTTTTAGGGCAAATGGAGGGAAAGTGGACGCACGTGTCCCCGTCGGACGGGCCGGGGAAGGACAAGGGTGCACGTCCCGCCCATCTGCGCCATGTCCATTTTGACGCAAACACGGCTCAAAGTTGAGCCGGGAATGGATCGAAACCGGACCGAAAACATGCATTTATCCGTTTGCTTTCGCATGTTGCGCCGTGTTTTCTGTCCGTTTACCCCAAAATGACGGGACCGGACCATTTAGAGTCGTGCATTGGAGTTGGCTTTACGTTATCCAAACGGATAAAATCCGGACAAAACATATTGTCCATTTGGGTAGTTGCATCACCATGATTGAAATGTTCTCCCCATCGTCCATCGGCCATCGCACTCCGTTTCCGCACGTGCACCAGCGCACCGGGATCGCATCGCACTGCGCGAACCACTCCCAAAGTCCCCACTGGACTCCACCCGCCCCTCCCCACCCCGCGGATCCGGAATCCTCCACGAATTAACGAGTTTCCCCTCCCCTGCTGCCCGGCCGGCGCGCGCGGTCACCATCGTCCATCGACCGAAGCCAGTGCGCCCCCGCGGCCAGATCCGAGCGGAGGGATGACGGGGGCGGCGTCGCAGGCGTACGGGGAGGCGTGGTACTGGGACGAGCGGTACCGCAAGGAGTCGGGGCCCTTCGACTGGTACCAGAAGTACCCCGCCCTGGCGCCGCTGCTTCGCCTCTACGTGCGCCCGCACCAGCGCCTCCTCCTCGTCGGATGCGGCAACTCCGGTGAGTAGCCTATCTTTGCTCCACTCGCCCATGCACCCTCGGGGCGGGATCGATCAGGGAGGGAGTTTCTCTGGGCACCTTGGTTGACCTGCTCCAGCGTCTCTGGTTGGGATCGCCGGGAGACTATTCACTCGATCGATCAACTGGAATGCAATGTAGAATGTGTGCTCTACGGAGTCTTTATGTTTTTGTAGAATGAATCGAATGCTGTTAGACACAAAGGTTTCCTCAATCAGACAGCATTTGCTCAATGGTATTCCCTCAGTGCGATTACGTGGTAACAATACAATCAAAGCAACTCGTGATGTAGCAAGTTAATATGTTACTACTTATTACCAATCTGAGACAACCGGCCTCTCGGCCCTTTACCCCATTACCACTGAAAGCATATGACAAATATGATGCGTTGCGGTTCATGGCCCCATGTCTGGCCAAAACATCATGTGCAAAGTGACATGCGTGTATGAGCGACGTTGCTTTATCAGTGTCACACGTATGTCAGCAAAAAGGTGAAATGGGGTTGTGAGACATATCCCCTAGCGACTCCCTTCCCCAAAGCCGGACCCCTTGTAGTCAATGGATACGGAGTACGTACTAGTTAACTTAATTTAATGAACTACTGGTGATATGGAAATTTATGTACCACATTTCCTTTAATCAAATTTTGATAATATTTTGGTCCTAGTTGAGAGTTATTGAAGCATGATGGCCTCCTCGATCCATTTAGGTGCACCGTCTTGGGTTCATAAAAACTTACTGTCTGATAATTAGCACAGAATTGGCGAGTTACACAGTCCATTCTCATCTTCTATTGTCTTCTACTTATTGTATTGACTGTTAGGCATAGATAATGACGGAATTATTCTTATCCCTTTTGAAACTGGTTGTTTGTTGATTGAGATATTTTTTATCACTAATTTGCTATGCAGTTTCAGACTATATGATTTATTTCTGAATTTAGATGCAATTGTTATATTATTGCCAGCATGTTTATTCTTGGTTTAGTTGAAATTACTTGTTTTTAATCTATTTCGATGTTTCACAGTTTTTGGTGAAAACATGGTTCAGGATGGTTACCAGGACGTTGTCAACATTGATATATCGTCTGTGGTGATTGAACAAATGAAGAAGAAATACCATGATAAGCCTCAACTAAAATGTATAATCTTTGTTCCCAACATTCAGACATTGAATCCCTACGGAGTATCTACGGCTTACTATTGTATTATTTCCTGCAATTTACAGATACGAAGATGGATGTAAGAAACATGTCAGACTTTGAGTCTGGTTCATTTGATGCTGTTATTGACAAAGGTATCGTTATGATGTAAATGTAATGGTTGCCAGCATTATGGAACATCTATGCATGCGTATGTAACATGCCATTGGGTTCTAAACCATTCTGTTATTTGCAGGAACACTAGATTCTATTATGGTGAGTCAATTGTTGCCAGGATACTCAGATATTCTTCCCATGCCATACTCAGAGCCGTGTTTCTTGTATTGTAGTGCGGCCAAAATTCACAAGAGCATGCAGCGAAGATGCTAGGGGAGGTGAACAGGTAAATAATGGACTGATATTTGTTGTGATATCTCTGTTTATTTGACTATAGCTTTCTATTTGTTTCTTCTATCTGCAGAATCCTCAACGATAAGGGGGTCTACATCATGGTAATTGATAGTATTATTAACATGGTAACTCTGTGGTTTTCTTCTTGTGTTTATAAACTTCTTTGAGTGTCACAATGCTACAGATTACTTATGGGGATCCAAGTTATCGATTGAATCTTCTGAAGGACCTCCAATTTTGGACAGTAAAGCTTCACGTCATAGGTTAGTGGGTTTTGCCACCGGTTCGACTTAACGACGTCCTACTCTTGACCCTTTTGATCTATTATTTTTATTTTCTGAAGCTCTAAATAACAGTGTTATCTGTTTTATGATTTTACATACACAATCGACATAGCAGATAGGTGGGAGAGAAGTTCCAAAAAGACATGGGATCTGACCGAGCCACTGCCTTTACAAGATGATAGTACATCGATTATCAACCTTCTTGGCCCAAAACCTGATGTTCACTATATTTATGTCTGTATAAAGGTTAACCGTCGACAAGCTTGTCATAATCATCCGAACTTGCTTCCTGAACTCTTCATATGACTAGTTATTGAATAATCTTACATTGTTATGCAGGACAACGACAGTGCAAGGGTGGACTTGAAGGCCGAGGTCAATGAAGCAGACAAATGATCGCATATTATAACCTTTTTGGATCATCGTGTATAACCAGTGTAGCGAATAATGTAGGGAATACATTTTGTAACTCTTGACTTGTGTCGTTGTTGGCAACAATTTAGCAAAATTACAGCTAGGATGTTGCTTCTTCGATCATCGAATTTGGAATAGAAATGAATGTGCTGTTTTCATGTCTTTCGATCTTGTGTAGAATTTATTTCCGTGTTCACGGAACAGAGGACCCGCTCGGAGTGTGGGAAATCTTAGAGAAAATGATCTCGGTTTTCTACATAAAGAAAAGCCAGAATCTTGTGGGACGGAAAAGTATCTTGGGAAAATTTGTGGATGTTCACAACATATGCCTAGAACCCCTAAAAAAATATGAAAACAGTTTTCAAAAGTTTCGTTTTTTTTTGTTTTGGGTCTTCACAACATGTGTTTACAATTTCTTAAAACTTCAGAAGAGAAACTTGAACTTTTTAGGAATTGTCGACACATATGTTGTGAACATTCACATTGTTCCCTGATTTTTTTTGAAACTTCGGAATTTGACTTTTGTGAGTTGGGAGCATGGTATGTCTAAGTGTTGAAAGCACCGGATACTTTCCACTCCTGGCCTTTGTGGCCATTTTGGCGAACCCGCATGCAATTTTTCTTTGTTTTCAGAAAATATAAGGGAACAACTTTTTTATTTGACCTAAGTGTGATTTTTTTTCTTCTGCGTCCATCATGATTCAGTTCAGGCATTCAGCCCAGGCAAAGGGAAAGTGGAAGAATCCCTCAGTGGGACGGATCGACGTCCAGCTTCAATCCAACGCCTCCAGATTCGGCACGTCTCCTTCTCTTTCCCACCACCTCCCTAAAAATCCCTCTCCCCCCTTCTCTAGCCGCCTTCCTTCGGCCCCGCAGCTTTTCTCTCTCCTCACCGTCGCGCGTGTGCCCCTCCTTTCTGTCTCTCTCTCCTCCGCGCGCGCTCCCTCACTCTCCTCCCATCCGTCTAATGGAGGCCCTCGCCGGCGCCGCCGCCTCGTCCGCGCTCCTCCCGGCCTTCCCCGCCCACCAGCCTCACTCCCGCGTGGCGCTCCGCGCCCGCCCCTGCGGCCCCCTTCGCGCGGCCGCCGGCGGCGGAGGCAAGGACGACGCCGCCAAGCCGAACGGGACCCCCGTCGTCAAGGTAACAAACAGTGCCTGAACGCTTACGTGATGCAAAGTAAGAAGTGATGAAGATTTTGTTTGGGTAGTGGTTGCTGGGAGACGGGTGTGCCAGTGTAAAACATGTTGGGTTTAGGGATTTCTGTCAGATGCGAGGCCTGGGGCCTACCCAGACCTGTGGTGTTTCATTGTGTTCTTATTACGAGGTGACTAGGTTTCGAAGCTTGATATCTTTGAGATCGTTCGGTAAGTTTTGTGGATGTCATGAAAATAAAATAAACCTCCTTTTGTACCAATGAACATAGAACTTCCCAATAATAATTAGTTGAGAATCATGTCTAGCTTAGGGGTTCGCAAAGATATTAGTTAGCTTCTTGCTAGATTTTTTTAAGGTGATCCTGTATTTATATTTTGAAACTCAGGAGTGAATCAGGTCATTTTCTTTTAGTTTGCCTTTAGTGGGTCACATATCTTTGGTTTGTAATAAATTGCCTGATAGTTGAAGGTTGATCCAAGTCAAAACGGAGCTCTCGGTCCGGTCACAACTGACAAGTCACGCACGACCTCATCAACCAATTCAACTCCGGACTCCAGTGGATCCAGAGCTGGCTTGTTCAGAACCCCTATATCTGGTGGTGTGCAGAGTGCAACTTTTGCCCATGGTTTACCTCCACCGGCTTTGGCTGTTCGCAATTTAATGGAACAGGTAGCTTCTGTTACTTATCTCCTGGCCTTTGGGCTATTTTCTAGCCGGCTGGATGCTTATTCCTGTCTTACTGTGCTCACTAGGCACGATTTGCTCATCTATGCACTGTCATGTCTGGCATGCATCATCGACGTGCTGGATATCCATTTGGTTCACTTGTTGACTTTGCTAATGACTCAATGGGCCGTAAGATAGCTACTTTGGTTACATTTTGGATATAACTTGTACACTCTGTTTGGCCTCCTTGGGTAATTATTTTGTGTTGATGTCTTGCACAGACCCAATATTTTCTCTGTCGCCCTTAGCAATCCACACTAGAAACTTGCTCTCTGATCCAAGATGCACACTTGTTGTCCAGGTATGAAGTTTCTCGGCATGTTTTACTGGAAGTATAAAGGTTTGCTTGCTAATAATAGGATAACAACATCTAGTCCTTCATTACAGGTACCTGGATGGAGTGGATTGTCTAATGCTCGTGTCACAATATTTGGTGATGTCTACCCTTTGCCAGCTGAGCAACAGGTTCCTATTTAGCTGCCTTTGTTGCTTGATAATTGATAGTGCAGTCATCTAGGTAATTACTTTTCTATGGATAATTTTTTTGAAAGAAAAATGTAAGGAAACTCCAACAGTATGAATAGGAACCTGAAATACACGTCCATGAGGACTTAAATGGGATTGTACATCCTCTAGAACCCAAGTGATGGAAAAAAATTATATGAGACCAGGTCTCATGAGCTAGCAGGTGAGAC